AAAAAAAAAAAAAAAAAAAAAAAAGTATAATCATTTCATCACATCAGTTTATGAAATTTCTTAAATTCTGTGATATTTAATCCATCCTAAACCGAAACATGAAAAAACAATTTGCAGATTTCAGCCTTTATTTTGTAAAATAATTATTATGCAAAGAAGCTCCAAGTTGTTACTTATACAAAGTTTGCTAAAAACAAAACCCAGGTAAAGTCAAAAGAGCAGAATGTCATTATACACAGATTGTACTGCTGCTAAAACTGATGTCTCAAGCCTAAATTCATCATCCACTGGTCTTTTTATATCACTATTAATATTCTACATCTAGCTCATCTGCTGCCAGTCTAAGCAAATGAAAATTACTAAACTAGTAATCATAGTTGTCTTTTTTTTTTGGCCGGGGCTGGGTTTGATCCTGCCACCTCCCGCATGTGGGGCCAGCGCTCTGCTCCTTTGAGCCACAGGCGCTGCCATCATAGTTGTCTTTTACTAGTGAAATCCAAACAACCTAAATGCTTATCTGAAGAACTAAAATCTTTTTTTATTTTTATTGAGACAGAATCTCACTATGTCACTCTTGGTAGAAATGCCATGGCATCATAGCTCACAGCAACCTCAAATTCCTGGGCTCAAGCAATTCTCTTGCCTTAAGGCTCCCAAGTAACTGGGACTATAGGTGCTGGCCATAACACCCGGCTTTGTTTAGCAGGCCCAGGTTGGATTCAAACCCACCAGCCCCAGAGCATGTGGCCGGCACCCTAACTACTGAGCACCAGCACACAGCCAAGAACTAAATATTTTTTTATCATGAAACACACAATAAACAAACTTAAAATTATTGCAATAGAGATTTATCTACTTACTTTGATTCCTAGTCCTTATTCCTGTAGTTTGTTTAACCCATTCTTCAGAGTTTTTTTGATGTCCCAAGCCTGAAGCAAATACATACATCAAAATATCATTTTCCATACTTTGAAAGTTTATACTAAATAAACTTACTATATATCACTGGGAATATAATACATTAACATCTAATGAAATGGGGTTTTTTGGTTTGTTTGAGACAGAGTCTCACTATATTTACATAGTGAGTTTATATATTTATACTCAATATATAAACTTAGTATATACCCAATGATATATAATAAGTTTATCAGAAAGGCAAAATAAAGTAGAGAAGGAAAATTATAAAGGTGTTATTACAGAAGTGAAAGATAATTTCAAAGGACCATATCAGTTCCTACTGCAACAAAGCAGGTAGCCTTATTACCTAATAGACAAAAGTATGTACAAGTTCTTTGCTCTGATGTACAGGAATGCTTGAATTCAAAAACATTACAGGCTTGGCACCCATAACTCAGTAAGTAGGGTGCCAGTCACATGCACTGAGGCTAGCGGGTTCGAGCCTGGCCTGAGCCTGCTGAACAACAATGACAACTGCAGTCAAAAAATAGCCAGGCATTGTGGTTGGCACCTGTGGTCCCAGCTACTCTGGAGGCTGAAGCAACAGAATTGCTTAAGCCCAAGAGTTTGAGGTTGCTGTGAGCTGTAATGATACAGCACTCTACAGAGGGCGACATAGTGAGACTCTGACTCAAAACAAACAAAAACCCCCAAAACCCCATTTCATTAGATGTTAATGTTATTTAAGGAGAAAAGTTACCCATTTATCCCTCCCCCCTCTCTCTTTCTTGCTTTATTTATTTAGAGATGGGGTTTCAGTCTTTTGCTTAGGCTGGAGTATAGTGGCTGCATCATATAGCTCACTGCATCCCTAAACTCCTGGGCTCAAGCAATCCTCAGACACTCCAGCCTCCCAAATAGCTAGACTACAGGCTTATACCACCGCACTTAGCTAACTTTTAAAACAGTTTTAGAGATGAGATCTCACTGTGTTGCCCAGGCTGATCTCAAACTCAAGCCTCTGAAGCCATCCTCCCACCTCAGCCTCCCAAGTAGCTAGCATTACAGGCACAAGCCACTATACCCAGCTGTACTTTACTCTCAGAAGTAAATTACTAGTGGTAAAACAGTCCCAAACACATTTTCACATCACAGAGTAGTTATCTCCTGTAGTACCAGTGTGTGGTATATTAAAGAGGCAAAGAGTAAAATGACTTAAAATCCTAGCAGAACTTTAAGTTGGGAGAATAAGGCAAGGTTAGAATTTATTGACTGGATAATAAGACAACCAACTACTTACTCAGCGCTGAAGGTCGCCTATTATGTGCTATTAAGTCTTGACCTGAAACAGAAAACAGGGATAAGATCATAGGATACCTGCAAATAAAACAAAAAGGTTGCATAGACATTTTGCTTATTTATTATAGATACTATTAAAACACACACACACACAAATGAAAACAAAACCACAAACCTCTCATCAGTTCCAAACATTTTTCTCTCTCTCTCTCCACACACACACACACAATGCCAAAAAAATACATATGCATTTTAAGAAAGGAAAAGAACTGTATTAAAATTGTAATACTTAAGTGAAGAAAAAAACTGTATTAAAACTGTAATACTCATGGAAGTGTCTTGGATTGTATGTGAAAACACCACACTGTACCCTCAAAGTGCATCAGTGTACACAGTTACCATTCAATAAAAAAAAAAAGAAAAAGAAAAAAAAAACTGTAATACTCAATATATTCTAATAATAAAAGATAAATACAAATCACCTTTGAGCACCTCTTATAATTGCAAAAGTCAAATGTAACTTGAGTATTACAATTTTAATACAGCTTTTTCTCTTCTTAAAATGTGTATACATATTTTGGCACACTCATGTGGTTTTTTCCAGGTTTTTTTTGCAGTTTTTGGCAGGGGCTGGGTTTGAACCCACCATCTCTGGTATATAGCACCCTGCTCCCTGGAGTCACAGGTGCCGTCCGATGTTTTTTTCCAGCTTTAAACTTAAAAATTTTCAGAAATAAGACAAGGAGTCATCTTTAGGGACATTATCATCAAAATAATGGCCAAATGTATTAAATGTTTACTAGCCACTGAGTATAATTTTACTTAATTCTCATACTTCATGTGGAATATATTATTATTATCCTTATTTTTTTAAAAAGGGCAAATCGAAATTGGCAATTTTCCCCAAACTGTATCTAAAAATAGTAAGGCTAAGATAGAAATCCAGGCAGTCCAGGAGTGGGCACAGTGATTCATGCCTGTAATCCCAGGACTTTGGGAAGCCAGGGCAGGAGGACTGTTTGATCAAATTCTAAGAAGTACTTCTTAAAACAATGTCTTTGGCCTCGGCGCCTATAGCTCAACCGGCTAAGGCGCCAGCCACATACACCTAAGGTGGCGGGTTCGAATCCCTAGCCTGGACGGCCAAAACAACAATGACGGCTGCAACCAAAAAATAGCCGGGCGTTGTGGCGGGCGCCTGTGGTCCCAGCTACTTGGGAGGCAGAGGCAGGAGACTCGCTTGAGCCCAGGAGTTGGAGGTTGCTGTGAGCTATAATGCCACGGCACTCTACCCAGGGGGACAGCTTGAGGCTCTGTTTCAAAAAAAAAAAACCAATGTCTTTGATTTAGAGCTATATGTCATAATTGATGGTTTGCCATAGCTTAAGTGGATACATAAAATCAACAGCATCTTTGACTCAATGAATTAAAATCTTGATCACCTTTTCATTAATACACAACTAATTGATTTTTCATATCTAAATAAATATTTCATTGCATGGGTAGCATCACTGACATAGGTAGATAGATTTAAGAGTTTCCAAGGATCAAAGATTTGGAGTAAAACAGGGCAAACATAAAAGATAATGCAAAGAGTAATTTCCCACAAGTAATTTTTTTTTTTTTTTAAGAGACAAGAGTCTTACTTTGTCATCCTCGGTAGAGTACCATGGTGTCACAGCTCACAGCAACCTCCAGTGATTTTTTTTATGTTTCAGCTGCTTATTCATTATGTCTCAGTTTATAGTCACTAACCCAGAACCTACTAAAAACTAAAATTTAAAAAATATATATGTGTGTGTGTGTGTGTGTGTGTATACACGAAATAGAAAACTGTGAACACAACGGTTATAAAACAGATATCCAAGGGACTGCAAACTAATACAGCCTCTTTGGAAAGAAGTATAGAGAATCTTCAAAGAACTCAAATTAGACCTCCTATTTGACCCCATAATTCCTCTATTAAACATCTACCCAGAAGAAAAAAAAATCATTTTATCATAAGGACACATGCATTAGATTGTTTACTGCAGCTCTATTTGCAATCGCCAAGATATGGAAGCAACCTAAATGCCCATCAATTCAGGAATAGATTGACAAACTGTGGTATATGCATACCATGGAATACTATTCAGCCATAAAAAGATGGCGACTTGACATCTTTTGTATCAACCTGGATGGAGCCGAAACACATTCTTCTCAGTCAAGTACCATAAGAAGGGAAAAGCAATTCTCCAATGTATTCAATACTAATATGAAGCCAGCAAATGATCTAATTCATGCCCACATAGGAGAAAAACTCATTTCAGTTCAAGGTGGGAGGAGGGGGAACAAAAGTGGGGAGAGGGGGACTTGGGGTGCTCCCATAGAATGGGCACAATGTAGGGGTGTACAGTAGACCTTTTAGAGGTAGAATATAGCTACCAAAGGAACTCTACCTAACAAATGCAAATATTGTGATTTGGTTGTTTGTACCCTCACATTAACCTGAAATAAATAAACAAATACCCCAGAACCATATTCCATTATTGCTAAATACCAGAATATCCTAAATGAAAATAAAAAAGACATATGGTAAATTAAAACCCACCAATTTCTCTTTAAAAAAATATAACAGACATCCAAAGACTTTTTCTTTTTTAAAACAAGTGATGTGGAAGAAAAAAAATTTTCTTGAAAATTTTACATACAAAGATATTTCCAGTTGGTTAATAATTAAGCCCAATTCTGAGAGACTTGATTTAAAAATGGAAAAAGAAAAAACTATAAAACAGAAAACAATAAACTAAAAGAGAAATGTCACCAATGCTTCTATTATCCTGACCAAATCATTCTTAGCATTTTAGTACATTACTTTCCAATCTTTTTTTGTTACATTTTCTTAACATTTGATCATGCAAATTTTCAAAGTTAGCTGTAAGTTAAGTTATAAAACATTTATAATGAATACCCATTTATATTCATATACCCATTTCCTAGCTTACCTTTAACTTTTCACTATATGTGCTTTACCACTTATTTATTCATCCTTCCAAACTTTTGTAATAGAGTTGAAAACCATACTACATAAAATATTTTATGTCTTTATTAGAATACATCCATAGAAGTAGACCCTATTACATTCGTCACTTAAAGCAGTAGCGTTTTTTACGTGTGTTTTAAATTAAAATTCAGGCTTAGTTATAGAGAAGAGTAACTTAAGAGGTAGATATTGGTGAGTTTTTAGTATAGTATTGATTATTGCTCCTTTTCAATATTTATATAAAATTGCAAAAGAGGATCTTCAAAAATAAAGAACAGTATTTGACCAGGCCAACAGGTAGATCTGTACACATGGATTTACTTACTTCTTGATGACTGCCAAAATGACTCTTGATATTGACCAGATGACCTACTGATTTGATCTAAAAAGTAAAAAAAAAAAAAAAATACTGTATTATAAATCATATTCAACCTTTAAATTTACATTTTACAAGAGAATAATGAGTACTTAATCAAAAGAGCAAAAATATTCAGATAAACCCCAGATAAATCCAATACTCGGGTACATAATTTATTTAAAACACATAATTTCTTTTTTTTTTTTTTTGAGACAGAGCCTCAAGCTGTCCCCCTGGGTAGAGTGCTGTGGCATCACAGCTCACAGCAACCTCCAACTCCTGGGCTCAAGCGAGTCTCCTGCCTCTGCCTCCCAAGTATCTGGGACCACAGGCGCCCGCCACAACGCCCGGCTATTTTTTGGTTGCAGCCGTCATTGTTGTTTTTTGGTGGGTCCGGGCTGGGGATTCGAACCTGCCACCTTAGGTGTACGTGGCTGGCGCCTTAGCCGGTTGAGCTATAGGCTCCGAGCCTAAAACACATAATTTCTAAAGAGTCTTATCACATCTAAAAAATTAAAGAATTTTTTTAAAGAAAAAAATGGAGCTGGGCATGGTGGCTCATGCCTGTAATCCTAGCACTCTGGGAGGCAGATGCAGATGGATTTTTTGAGCTCACGAGTTCAAGATCAGCCTAAGCAAGAGTAAAACCTTGTCTCTAAAAAAACAGCTGGGCGTTGTGTGGCAGGTGCCTGTAGTCACAGCTAAAGCAAGAAGATAGCTTAAACACAGGAGTTTGAGGTTGCTGTGCACTATGATGCCACAGAACTCTACTAAGAGCAATAAAGTGAGACTCCGACTCAAAGAAAAAAAAAGTAAGATATAGAAAATGGCATGAGGTAAGGAAATAATGAAATCTTTGAGTTTGGGGAAACTTCTGAAAAGCTTACAACAATGGATCTTCTTGAAATTATTAATTTCCATTTTGCCTTAAATTTTTCCTACAATTGGGCAACAAATTATACATTTTGGTCTCCTTTTCCTAAACATTTTCTCCATATAAAAGTAGAATTTATAACTAGATTTGTTTACAGGTGATCAAATTGCTATTTTAGAAATAGAAGCATTTGACACATAAAGGTATAGTAGCTAAATATTTTTGATAGCATACTATTATTACTAAAAAATTCTGAGTATCAATCACTGAAACATTTTTCTTTCTAAATGAAATAATACATTAACTAAGACTAGCTTTGGCAACATAGCAAGGCTCTGTCTCTAAAAATCTGGGAAGCTGAAGTGGGAGTTTCAGGCCACAGTGAGCTATGATCATTTGACTGTACTCAGGCCTGGACACAAGAGTAAGACTCTGTCTCTAAAAACAAAAATAAAAAATAAATGTACATAAAATTCTATTATGTTTTTCCTGTGCTAATGGATCTTCTTGAACCTCTTTGCTAATGACTGGCCCACATAACCTAGTGAGATCAGTATTCTTTTTTTTTTTTTTTTTTTAAGACAGAGTTTCACTATGTCACCCTCAGTAGAGTGCCATGGTGTCACAGTTCACAGCAATTCTTGGCGTTAAGGGATTCTCTTGCCTCAGCCTCCCAAGTAGCTGGGACTATAGGCACCCACCACAATGCCTGGATATTTTTTTGTTGCAGTTTTGCTGGGCCTGGGTTTGAACCTGCCACCTTGGTATATGGGGCCGGCCAGAGCCCTACAGACTGAGCCACAAGCACTGCCCCCAAACTGTTAATTATTAACTTGGTGTAAATTAGAACAATCCAGATATAAAAGTAGTCATCTAATTATATTAAAATTTCCTAATAGCTAAGTAACACTTCTGATAGTACAGTGATTCCCGATGCTAATGTGATCAGTTCCTCTACAAAATTCAGAACAATAAATTAACTCTACTTTTAAAAGCTACACTATGCATACTTTTAATATTTATTAAAATTGATTCCATGTATATATCTGATTAGTAATATAATGTCATCATATAGCTAAGTAAATAAATAACTTATGGCCTGCTTTTTTTATTTACGAAAAATAAGATATTTTGTATTCAGGAGTTATTTGTGGCTAGACACAGTGGCTCACTCCTATAATCCCAGCACTGAGCCTGAAACAGAATGGGACAATCACTGAGGCTGAAATAGAGTGGAAGGATCACCTGAGGCCAGGAGTTCAAGATCAGACTGAGCAAAAGCAAGGCTGCCATCTCTACAAAAAAGAAAAATTAATAGGGCATGGTGGCAAGTGCCTACAGTCCCAGATGCTCAGAAGGCTGAGGCGGGTGGACTCAGTCCAGGCATTCCAGCCTGTGAGACAGAGTAAGACCTTATCTCAAATAGACATCTCAAGAAGAATTACTTCAGCTTGGCGCCTTCAGATCAGCGGCTAGGGCGCCAGCCACATACATAGGAGCTGGTGGGTTCAAATCCAGCCCGGGCCTGCCAAACAACAATGACAACTATGACCAAAAAATAGCCAGGCATTGTAGCGGGCACTTGTAGCCACAGCTACTTTGGAGGCTAAGGCAAGAGACTCATTTAAGCCCAAGAGTTTGAGGTAGCTGTGAGCTGTGATGCCACAGC